GCTGTAGGGCCAGGTCGTAGCCCTTCGGCGGGCCGTCGGGGGAAGAAAGGAAGGCGGCGGTGCAGCGGCCGGCAGAGGGCAGCGTTGCTTCTTCCCCGGCCTCGGGGAGCCAAAGGCGGGGGGGGGGCGCGTCGGGGAGCCTGCCCTCCCTCCCCTTCCCCGCCTCCCTCCGCTGCCTCTGCCTTAAAAAGCCCCGCCGGGCCCTGCATCGTGCCCGGGAGACCGACGGGGCCGGAGCGCAGGCGGGAGAAGACGCGGCCAAGCAGGTGAGGCGCGGGGACCCCGCTCGCCCCCTCCCCTCCCGTCCTCCCGTCGATCTTGGCTCTCTCCCCCCGCCGCCGCCGCCGCAGGACCCGAATGATGGGCCGGGAGAGCCTGGCACGGGGCCCTTCGAGCATGGGCAGAGGGCTCCGGGACAGCCAGGCGCTCTCCGGCCGGGAGGAAGGGCGCCCCTGGGAAGGGATCGGGGAGAGGGGGGACAGTCTGGGCAGGGTCCACCTTTGCCCACGCCGGCCTTGCGAGGAAGGCCACCGTCGCTGCTCTCGTCGTCCCTGGAAGAGGAGACTGGAAAGCAACGGCGGCCCCCGCAGCCCCCAAGCCGCACAGCCACCTCGGTCAGATTGGGGACCCCTCCCCTGAATCCCCTGCTCCGCTTGGCAGGGCGGTGGGCTGGGGTTGGGCTCGGGGAAGTGAGGGTCTCGGGACCCCCTCTCTGTCTTCCCGGCTGAGGAGTCTGCTCTCCCCAGGGAAGCCCCAGCCGGGGGGGGGGCTGCTTTGGGGGCAGAGCTGCCCATGGCTGGCATCCAGAGTCAGTGCCAGGCAAGAGAGAGCGAGGCTCCCAGGCAACGCCGGGCAAGCGAGAGCTTTGTCTTCCACGAGCTGACTGGCTCATCCAGGCCAACCTGGGGGGGGGAGGCGGGGGGGGGAAACTGGATTGAGTGTCCCGGTGGAGGAGGGTCTGGCGCCCCCAATTGCAGCCCCTGCCAGAGAGGACAGACAGGTGTGCAAACCTGAAAGTAACGTTTAACTTGGGTGGGAGAGAGAGAGAGAGAGCAAGCAGGTCTGTGCTGGCGGGGGGAGGGGGAGAGACAGAAGAGGCACAGTGGATCCCACCCCCCCAGGAAGAAGCCGAAAGATCCTGCATTCACTGGCTCGCCCAAGGCAATTGCCCAGCCTTGCCCAATGCCTGTTCACAAGACAGGCAGGTCCCCAGCCGCACCTGTTGCAGATTCATCCGTACGGCAAAGAAGGGGGTTCCCCGATACACAATCACGGGCCGTCCAGGCCAGCCTGTTGGGCCTCTTTTGCCGGCTGGGGCGCGGAAAAAGAAAACGGCTNCTGCATTCACTGGCTCGCCCAAGGCAATTGCCCAGCCTTGCCCAATGCCTGTTCACAAGACAGGCAGGTCCCCAGCCGCACCTGTTGCAGATTCATCCGTACGGCAAAGAAGGGGGTTCCCCGATACACAATCACGGGCCGTCCAGGCCAGCCTGTTGGGCCTCTTTTGCCGGCTGGGGCGCGGAAAAAGAAAACGGCTCTCTGGGCTGAGCCCCCAGAGCAGCAAGAACCCCCTCCCTGCCCCCTCTCCCAGCTAGAGAAAGAAGCCCAAAAAGTACCCCGTGAAATCGGCGTTCGGCTCACTGCTTTTTCTCTCCCTCCTCTGTTCTTCCTACCTGGCGTTCAAGTCCTGGTTCCCCAACCCCAAGAAAAAAAACCCCTTCCCGGAGCAGGCGCCACGTCGCCTGGGTCACTCTGCCTACAATAATGCCTGGGGCGTTCTCCCCTCGCCAAGGGACCAGCCCTGCCCGGAGTGGGTCTCGCACGGCCGCCTTGCCAGGGCGTGCGAGGGAACAGGGCGGCCCAGCTCCCAGCCAAGGCGTGGCTGATGCTTCTCCAACAGGATGACCTGGTTGGTGCCTGTGGGCTTTGCTGGCTGCCTCCGTTGGGTGCAAAGCAGAGGCCTATGGGGCAAGGCCAGGGGGTCGGCCTCAAGAGTGTCCGCTGCAGCTCCCTCTGCCTTGCAAGATCCTGGGACGGGGAAAGATGTCCTCAGAGTTCTGAGACGCTCTTCCCCTGCCCTTCCCTGTGTCGGGAGAGTCTTGGGCTGGAGCCTCTGAAGGCCAGCTGGGAGAGTCTCCGCTCTGGACAGCAGCGACCGACCGGCTCCTGCCTCTGGGCAACCAGGCAGGACGGTGACGAGAGTCTCTTTCCAAAATCTCCGGTTCCATCTGGCAGAGGAAGCCCCCCCCAGGTCCTGCTTATGGGGGCTGGCTCAGCCACCCCCTCCCCTACTTTCTGTCGCTGTAGCCAGGGCAGAGGCAGCAGCTGCTCCGGGCAGCCCAGGTGCCAAGTGGGGGCTTGGGAAATGCCTCCATCCGGTTCTTTCTTTTGCTGGGATGGGGGGGGAGTCGAGGCGGGGTGGGGGGGGGCAGAGTTGGCTTCAGGCTTGCCTGCCAAAGGCTCCCGGCTTCTCTTAAGCGCATTTGATGGATTCAGCGGCGCTCAGGGGAATAATTCCAGAGAATTAGCGGCAGCAAAGAGAGGCTTACGGGGAAAGCTGCTTTGCAGGTGGCAGCGGCCTGGGAGAGGATTCTGCAGGGAAGGCGCCGGGACGGGCAAGGGGGGTGCTTCTCCAGCCGGGTGCACGGAAAGGAGATGGGGCGGGGGATCACAAGCGGTTGTGAGGGAGGACGTGCGCCGCACGTGATCACGTGAAGTGTTAATACCACTTTACAAGGCCTTGGTAAGGCCACACTTGGAATCCTGCATCCAGTTTGGGTCACCACGATGTAAAAAAGATGCTGAGACTCTGGAAAGAGTACAGAGAAGAGCAACAAAGATGATCAGGGGACTGGAGGCTAAAACATGTAAGGAACGGTTGCTGGAATTGGGTCTGTCTAGTTTAATGAAGAGAAGGACGAGGGGGGACAGGATAGCAGTGTTCCAGTATCTCAGGGGCTGCCCCAAAGAAGAGGGAGTCAAGCTATTTTCCAAGGCAGTTGAAGGCAGGACAAGAAGCAACGGGTGGAAACTAACCAAAGAGAGAAGCAACCTAGAACTAAGGAGAAACTTCCTGACAGTTAGAACAATTAACCAGTGGAACAGCCTGCCTCCAGAAGCAGTGAATGCGCCAACACTGGAGGTTTTTAAGAAGAGACTGGACGGCCATTTGTCCGAAATGGTATAGGGTTTCCTGCCTGAGCAGGGGGTTGGACTAGATGACCTCCAAGGTCCCTTCCAACTTTATCATTATTATTATTATTATTATTATCCTGAACTCTCTCCTCGTCAGGACGCTTTCCTTGGGGGCCTGCAAGCAGCCAAATGAGGTGGGTGCGGCTGGCCGAAATTGCGAAGAGCGCCAGTTCCTCCAGGAACTGGCCAAGGCTTCTCCTTGACTCTCTGTCCAGTTGGAGGCACCTTCCTCACCTGATGCCCTCCAGGCAAGCCGGTCTGGACTGGCGCTGGTCTGGCCCGGTCCTCGTGAGTTTTTAAAGTCCAACGTATTCCAAAGACACCAATTGGGAGAGGTTTTGCCTTGCCAGAAAAATTCCTGTTAGCTCTTTAAAGAGCGAATTTAGTCTTCTTCTGAGCTGGACAAACCATGTAGCCGTCTTGCGATGAGGATACCCAGGCGGTTGACCCGAGCTTTTTTTTTATGTTTTTTTAAAGAGATTTCCATTCCAGATTACAACTCCGAATTTCCTTGGCGCTCTCCCCACCCAAACACGGATGGCTCAGCCCGCGTCTCAGCTCGTCTGCCCTTCGGTGGGCTCCAAAGATAACCTCAAAGGCCTCTCCCTTCCTCTCTCCAGAGTGAGGAGGGGGCAAAGGCTCCCCCCCCATCCCCATTCCTCCACCAGTTCCAAGCTTGCACGAGGGAGGGTTAATGGCTGTCTTCTTCCTGGAGGCCAAAGCGAGATTGCTCCCCAGGAGGTGGCTGTTGCAGCACCTGACACCCCCCCCCTTCAGGGAAGTGCTGCCCGTGAAGCAACACACAGGAAACTGAGCTGAAACCACAGGACAGCCCAGGGCAGGAGAAGGGCTGCCAGCCACCAAGGACTGCTTGCAACCTTCTCCCGCATGAGAATCCTGGTGCCACAGCTGGGGGGGGGGACGCACAGCAGGTAGGGAGAGAGCAGCAAAGGCAGGCCGGTGTGCTTTTCTTCTCCCTGCAGCTTTTCCAGATAAGAGGGTGGTCCGGTGGAGACCCTCCAGACTTCCCCACACTCCCCTTGTGGCCCTGTGGCTGTTGCTGTTGCTCGGAATAGTGCTGGAAGGGACCTTGGAGGTCTTCTAGTCCAGCCCCCTGCTCAAGCAGGAGACCCTATACCATTTCAGACAGGTGGCTGTGCAGTCTTTTCTTAAAAACCTCCAGTGATGGAGCACCCACAGCTTCTGGTGGCAAGCTGTTCCACTGGTTAATTGTCCTCGCCGTTAGGAAGTTTCTCCGTAATTCCAGGTTGCTTCCCTCCTTCATTAGTTTCCATCCATTGTTTCTTGTCCTGCCTTCTGGTGCTTTGGAAAATAAGTTGACCCCAACTCTTCTTTGTGGCTGGAATACTGCTATCATGTCCCCCCCCTAGTCTTTCTTTTCTCTAGACTGGCCAGACCCAAATCCTGCAGCCGTTCTTCGTACGTTTTAGTCTCCAGGCCTTTGATCCTCTGAGTTGCTCTTCTCTGCACTTTTATCCAAAGTCTCAACATCTTTTTTCGTAATGTGGGCGACCCAAAACTGGATGACAGAATCCCAGCTGTGGCTTTCTTAAGGCTTTATAAAGCGGTACTAACGCTGCACATGGTTTGGATTCTGTGCCTCTGTTTATACAACCAAGGATTGCGTTTCCTCGTAGGGCTGCTGCCGCACACGGCTGGCTCATGTTTAAGTGAGCGTCCTGATCTGGGTGGCTGGCTCTGCGGCTGATGGGATGTCCCTGTGCTTCTTGCAGGATCCAGACAGTTTTCCTGTGCTGGGGAAACTGGTTCCCTGAGACCTCACCATGAAGCCCCTCATGCTGCTACTGCTGCTGCTCCCCTTCGTGGGGCAGGCCTCCCTCTCCTTCGTGGTCCCAGGTGAGGAAAGCTGGCTGGGGCGCTTGGCCAGGTCTGGGGAAGGAGGGCGCCGAGCAGAAGCCCCGTTCGTCCACAGTGTATGCGTGTGTGTGTGCGTGTAGCTTACCAGAAGCACAGGTTTTGGGGTGCTATTACCCGCTTCTTCTTGCTCCTTGCAGAAAAGGAGAAGGACCCCCAGTTCTGGCGGCTGCAGGCCCAGGAGACGCTGCAGAGAGCCTTGAACCTTCAAAAGCTGAACACCAACGTGGCCAGAAACGTCATCCTCTTCCTCGGAGACGGTGGGTGGTGCAAGATGGCGGAGGCTGGCTGTCCCCCCCATTCTTCTTGGCCAGAGGCCAGCTTGAGAAGGGGGATTCAGTGGCCCCTTTTAGGCTGTGTCCCCCCTTTGTTCAGCTCACTGGGGGAGCGGTGCAAAAAGGGCAGTTGAGGAGGAAGAGGATGGGGAAGGGGAGGGGGAGGAGAAGGAGAAGGATGATGAAGAAGAAGGGGAAGGGGATGGGAAGGGGGAAAAGGAGGATGATGAAGAGGAAGGGGAAGGGGATGGGAAGGGGGAAGAGGAGGAGGAGGAAGAGGAAGGGGACGAGAAGGAGGAGGATGATGAAGAGGAAGGGGAAGGGGAGGGGGAGGAGAAGGACAAAGAGGAGGGGAACAGGAGGAGGAGAACGACAACTGTGGGGTCCTTGGTGCTCTCTGAGCTTAATCTCCTCTTTGGCAGCTGCCACTGAGCGGGTGTGGGGAGGGGAAAGGGTGAAAGCCCCCCAGAAGAGAGAAGGAGTCATCCACGAGAAACTTCCTTCTATTCTGCCTTTATTATTTTGATAAATAACTTGAGGCAAGGAGTGTAGTTCCTCCTCCGTGTTTCCCCACCACAACGGTCCTGTGAGGTGGGCTGGGCTGAGAGAGCTTTCAACACAGTGACCGTCAGGCGAATGCCCACCCTCCAGCCCAAACATTCTTCCGTGGAGGACATTTGGGAGACCCCGAGGCTCCTGGGCTGCCGTATTGGGGAAACTGAGGCAGCTCCGGGGATAACCTAGGGGTCTGTAACTGGTGGGCACAGCTTCCCCCGGTCGGGGGTCAGCTACTCACCAAGGCTCTCCCGCGCCAGGGATGGGCATCTCCACCGTCACGGCCGCTCGCATCCTCAAGGGACAGCTGCAGCAGAGAAACGGGGAGGAAACCATATTGGAGATGGACCGGTTTCCCTTTGTGGCGCTCTCTAAGGTAAGGAGGCCCCGTCTTCCGGCTGGGTGGAGGAGGAAGGGAAGCCGAAAGAGGAAGCATCGCAAAGCCCGTGCCTCGCCCGTTCCCGGGAAAACACCCCCCACCCCAGAGGTTGGCAAAGCTCCAGGTGATGCGTACAGACCCTGGCCCAGAGGGAGAGGCAGGCTGGGCAGCGGGAACCCCACGGTTGGCTCATGTCACCTGGTGGGCCGTTAACTTCCCTGAGTGGGAAACAGCCCCACGCACGCAGAGAGACGCCTGATTTGTCAAGGTGTGGCTTTTTGGGGAGATGGCACGAGGAAGGAGCACACACGGGCGCAAACAAAGGTTGCCGCCTGAAGGAAGCAAGGCTGCTTCCACGAAAGACAAAAGCCAGCCTTGGTGACAAAGAGGGAGGGTGCTGACCTGTCCCGGAACGAAAGAGCGTTCAGGTCAGTGCCCAGGCATCTCTTGAGGAACCCGCTGCTTGAGACTGGCGGGCGAGGATTAAAAGAGCAAACATCACATCCTGGTTCCCTGGGAGCCTCTCCCCAGCTATTTCTCCCTGTAAAATGATCCTTGGGCAGACAAAAGGGAAGCCCAGTCCTCAGAGGCA